CAAGGTACGGGCCCGGAGCGGGGCCGGGCGCTGGGGCCGCGGGCAGCGGGGTTTGTGTGCGGGGAGGCCCCGCCGGACCGGCACGGCCGGGGCCGCGGCTTGTAGGAAGAAGGGGTGGGGAAAAGCCGTGCCCCAGGAGGAAATAGAAACGGCGCTGCTTTGGCAGGTGGGCGTGAGCCTGGTGCCAGGGAGTCTCCGGCCGTGTTGACATAAGCGTAGGGAATAAAGCGTACCAACTCAGCTGGGAAGTGCAAAGTTCATGAACACCGCGTTATGAAATAGTCCAGCCTTTAGCTTAGGGGCAGCACCGGTGAGGGGTGGGCCGACTTTTGTTTTAAAGCGAGGTTAAAATGTTTCGCTTTCCTTCTTCCGAAGTCAAGAAATTCCTCGGAGTTGTTTGGGCGTTGCCATGTTTTGCCTTACAGACTTCGCTTATTCTGTGGCATTTAGCAGCTCGTTTTAGCAAAGTACTCACTAAAGCTTAACGCAGCTAATATTTCTTTCACGTAAAAGTTGTCAGATAGTTCTCTTTTTAACCCAGCTCTAACGCGTTAGGAGAACTGTCTATACAGGATGTGTCTCAGAAGGGACTACAGTTGCTGTGAAGTGTCTTTAGACGTGTTAAATAGCTTGCACAACTAACCTTTGGGGGGGAGTTTCTCAGCAGTAGTGCTGAAATTGATATTGCTCATAATGAACCTGGCAAGTACAGCTGTTTGAATCATGTGAGGGGAATTTTGGTGTGAGCAGTAGCTGAAGGTCCCTTTCAAGCCCAAAATCTCGATATATGGGCGTTGGTTGGTCTGTTTGTTTAACTCTGCTTGGATGTTAGTAGAGATCCAGAGTATGTGTTTTGTGACTGATTTCAGGCTTGGCAGCCAGCTTTCAAAAACTTGACTCCTTAACTGAGTCATGCACGTGTTCCTCAGCATGTAACGCGCTTCCTTACAATGAGTTGTAAAGAAAACACTATGAATATATAGGGGTTGAATTATTTGACTCTGAAATTTACTCTAAACCAATTTGCCTGGGCTCAGAGAATCCAGAAACTGTTACAGGTAGCTGTTCTTTTCCAGGCATCTGCAGTGCAACTTCCCTTTTTTCCAGGAAGTTAAAGCACAAGAAATAAATAGCACAAGACTTCAGTTTTCTAATTGCTGCTTTTCCTAACAAGATAAAAAAATGTTTTCTACTCTTAATACTTTAAAGGGTATGAAAAACTTGATTTCTCTTATAGGTAAAACAGTTTTCAGACACATGGAGGAATTATTGACTAGAAAGTACAAACAGTTGCTCATCTTCTGTTGGAAGGTTTAGTGGTAGCAATTTGTGTTTTAATTCATCAGTCACATACAATGTATACATTCTACACTGCTGCTTAGTTTAAAAAAAAATCCCTAGATGTAGAGTATCCTTTTCTCCAGTTATGTTATCTTGTTGCTCTGCAAAAGCAGTCATATGATGAGTTGGGGGTGGAGAATAACCCTGTGGGTTTTGCTGCGGAAGCAGTTTGTTCTGATACACTCCTGAGGCAGCCTGCCTTGATACCGGTGATGATGTAACTTGAGGTGATAGGAAATGGTGTTACTACTCATTACCTTGTGTTGGTTCTCAGTTCCATTTGAAAGAATTAATGTTTGCGAGCAAATATAGATTATAAAATGTGGGATTCTTGGGATTCTGCAAATACAGTGACTGCAGCTTAGAGGCTGGTTTCACTATATCAAATAATTTTAAGCACAGAAAGGGGCAGTTTGGGAAAAATAATACTGTCTGAAAGAATAAATAGTGTACTATATTGACATAGTTTTGAACTCTTGACACATTTAAAACAAGGTAGTATAGTAAATTTACCTGTAGTGGCGTACAGGTGGCAGAAATAGCATAGGGATTTAATCTAACTTAAGGAACACGGAAGTATCTGGAGGGTTTTCTCAGTAACAAAAATATAGGATGGCTACTGGTGTGGTAAGCCTTAGGAAATGTACTTTGAAACTTTATATTAAAGTTCAGGTTTATGGACTAGGTAGAACTTTTATGAAAGGCATTTTTTCATGAAGAGTTCTCTTTGACCAAAGAATGGGGATGGGAAAATAAATCTCTTCTGATAGTCTTTTAAACTGTTTTATCTAAAAATTGTTACCCTTTACTATCAGGTATAAAGAAGAGAATATAAAAGAGAGCCTTCAATGAGATCTATTTAAAAATCGTTTTAGATATTAGTGTTTTACTACTATTGTGCTGTTTACTGGCAGTGTTCACTTTCTCACGTTACTTACACTAAGTTTGCTTTCTTTTCTAATGTTCCTGTCCATTACTGAAATAATAAAAGCCAACTGAACATACTGGGTTTTCACAACTATTCACTCTGCTCTCTTTCTTCTCTTAGGAGTACATCAAGGGCCTGTGTGAACCTGAGCTAGAAGAAAAGGAGTACTACCCAAAGGACATGCACTGCATCTTTGTTGGTGCGCAGAGCCTGTTTCTCAACAGTCTTATTCAGGATACGTGTGCTGATGTAACAGTGCTGGAAATGGGATTGCTCAGTATTAAGGGGGGTGCAGAAGCCGTTGTTATGGCTCAAAGTCATGTGCAGCAGTTTGTGAAGCTTTTTGAGAATAATGAAAGCTTATTAAATGACAATGAATCAGAGATTAAAAAGCAGTTCAGACAATTCGTAGAAGCACATGCAGATAAGTATACAATGGATTTATTGATTTTGCCTAGTGCACTAAAAAGAGAACTCCTAGCTCTTACCCAAAGTGATGTTTCTGAAGGGGAGATGGAAATCATAGATCTCACAGGCTCTGGAAACCCACGGCAGCTTGAACAGAACAGCACCTCCAAAGTTGTTGCTGCAAACAGAGATGGAAGGGCAGTTGGGGAGGAAGCGAGAAGCAATGCTGGCACACCTGTAACTGAGCTTACAAAGCAAATGGACACTGTGTTTTCTGATGCTCCTGAAACAAGATTTGTTCCCATAAAGGACCCTCTGTTAGAGGCAGTGGCCTTTAAAGAGAGGCAGTCATGTAAAAGAAGGTCTTCTGATGAGGAGGAAAGGCTCCCTAAAAAGCATTTCTCTTTGGAAAATGATCAGCAAGTGAAATCTTCTTTAGACAAGAATCCTTCAGACTCTGATGCAGTTATTGATCTGATTTTGGATAGCTGCAATGAATCAGATGGTCCTACTTACTGCCTTAAAGAAGGTGATGCTCTCACTGAGGAAATGGAATATAAGATTCTTGTGAACTTTTTCAAAACAATGGGATATTCCCAAAATATTGTAGAAAAAGTTATCGGTATCCTAGGACAATCTGTGGAACCATTAATATTGCTAGAAGAAATTGAAAAAGAAAATTTAAAGTTCAAAAAAGAACATGAACAGTCGTCTCAAAAGCCTAGAACTTTTCCTTTAGGAAATAATGTAAATAATTCACAAAACCTAGAAGACAAAGGCATTTCTAGGAATAAAAGTCCACTTAAATCCAGCCATACTTCAAAGGAGACAAAAAATGAGTATCACAAAATAAGAGGTACTCCAGACACACAAGTTGGTGCAGAAGATAAAATGCATCGATTAGTATGCAAATCTTCTTCCCCTCCCAGCAAAAATTCAGGTCTGTGCTATAAACAAAGAGATGTTTATGGCCCTGGTAAGAATCACAGCTCAAGGTCAAACAATATAGAAACTGATGGTGAGGTAGCTTTCAGCACTGTGCAAGCTGGAGTTCTAAAGGATGTTGGCTTTGTAGCCAGAGGGAGCTCAGATATACAGCCTATCTCAAGTAAGAGTAAAAGTGCATTTCAGCAAAAATCTGTAGCGCCCTCAACTGTACAGAACAGCCACCCTGTTTCTGAGGAGCAGCTGGGACACTGCAGCTCTTCTCAAGTGAGGCCTCTCCACCAGCGCCTTTCTCAAACCTCACATTGTGACAATCCTGTCCCAGACCGGTTACTGTCCTCACAAAAACACTCCTCAAATCCAGACAGAGACACAGTGGGACCACATCCAGATCATTCAGTTACTGGAGTTCAAAGATTTTTGGACTCTCTGAAGAAGCCATACAAACTGGAGTTGATAAATGAACCTGGAAAACCATATTTAAAACATATAATTATTGATGGAAGTAATGTTGCAATTTCGTAAGTATTGTTCTTTTCAGCTATCCCTTTATGAACAGTTAATGAACTTTCAGATTAAATGGGGGCTAAGAGGTTGCAGTGGCATGTGTTGAGGTCTTGCTAGCTAGGGTTTTGGTGTGCCTGTACACACAATTGTGCCATTTCAGAGTAACCTGATTTGAATCACCAGTGTTCAGCTCAATGTAACACTTCAGTCAGAAGTAATCTCAGGGCAAGCTTTGCTCCGTTGCAATCAAGTGTTATGCATGAAGTTTAATATGCTTTGCCAGTGCCTAACAACAAGGTTAAGTTATTGTCAATTTAAGTGGTTTGGGGGATTTTTGTGCTTTTAACATCTTGTAGTTTAAAAGTGGAGGTTCTCATCTAGTAGTGACATATTTCTCCTCTGACAGCATTGCATATTAGTTCTTGGATCCTGTTATTTTTTAGCAGTGTATATATGTATATTTACCAACTACAAATGTGCATTACTGAGGTTCCAATATTTCCTTCATGCACCCCAGTGGATTGATATGCACACCATGTCTGCACACACCCCACATTAGAGTAGGGCATAGTAGCTGGGTGCAATTGACATACAGTCCCCTAAAAGGTTATATAACACCCAGTGCTTTCTACCCAACCAAATGAAAACTAGTTATGAAATGTAAAAGACAGAGCTGCCTCAAAATAGCAGGACCATCAAGATATTCGAATATCCTACTAAATAATCAATGCTTGGGGGCCTGTTGGTTTGATCATGTAGGTATTCTGCAGCTTCCCTCTGGCTAAATAAAGCCTCATTAGTTTCTTACATTTCATAAAGTTTTCTGTTTGAAAAATTGCTTTGAATTGCTCTCAGTTTTACTTCTCAGTAACTTGAGGACTGCTTCCATGCCTGTGCTAGTTCAGGGCTCTTCTGGCCCTCTTTTTTGTTGGGGATGTGGATATTAATGCATCACTCACATGCTTAGACTAATGCTGTATGGGTTTCTGAATCACTGCTTGCCTCATGTAAAAGCTGTAGAATTTTTTCTTTTGGCATGTGCATCACAGGGTTGGCCTGTTGTTACACACTGTCTCAGGGTGCTTGTGGAATGAGAAAACACCCGGAGTTTACCCTAGCTGCTAGCAATTTTTTTTTTAAATTACCTGGTTTTGTATGCTGAAAACAGGCCTTTTGAGGGCAAACTGCAATATCCAGTTGTTGGGTAATTTAAATTTTATTAAAATGTGGAGGAAGCTCAGAATGAAAGAATAATTGAATGGAATTTTATCTTCCTAGAATAGTTTGTTAATATGTATTTGTGTGGTGCATCCATTCAGAAGCATCAGGTGTCCAAACAAGGTGGGAAACAAAAGGGTGTCAATTACCCTTTGAAGCCTTGGTAAACTATTTACCAGAATCATAGCCCATGTGGAGGTGCACCATTGTACCTACACTTGGGAGGAAAAATGCCCAGGAGTTACTGAGTTGGGTTGTGGCTGGGGGAAACTTACTGCTGGCCCAAGTCAGTCATCCTGTGGATCTGTAGCCAGCAGTCCTGAGTGAGGCTCTTTGAGCTCTCCTGGGGCTCAGCAGCACCTGCCTTGAGCAGGACACCGCTCAGAGCTCACAAATCCTCACCTTGGTGATACTGAGAGGAGTGTTCCTGGCGAAATGCTCACACTTATACACACTTCCTCATACCTCAGGAAGGTCTCCACACTTCCTGAGGTATGACCCTTACCTATTGGGAAATGCAAAGGGACTTGGTCTGAGCATTTCCCTGACGCTGAGTGGATTTTTGATAAATATCTTTTGGCAAAAAGAATTAAGTGTTCACATTGTGTACCTGTGTGTGTGTGAATTGATCATGGTATGAATGTTACTGCCTCAAATCTACAGTTAAGTCATTACAGCTATAGCGAGCCCTTTGGAAGTGCTTTGTAAATGCTAAAGTACTCAGTTATTAAGTGCTGCTGAATCCTTCTGCAACCTTATCTTTGCATCCATGTGCTTTGCACCCTCCCCGCCTTCTGCATTCCAGCCTTCTGTGTAAAGCAGTCCAAACTTTATTCCAATTTGATCTTTGTATGCCTTAATTTGTGCAGCAAATAATGAACTTGCTCTTTGCAAGTTCACAAGAGGGAATGTTGCCACCAAACTCTGTGAAGCCATATTTTCACAAATTCATATCAAACCCTGCCTTTGGCAATACCTTTGGCAGTGTTTCTTTAAGCAGCCAAACCACTCATTGGCGACAGTATTTACTTTAGTTACAAACCAAGGAGAAACTGTTACATGTCCCAGAAGGCAATCTGCTCTTTGCTGATTTGTGCTGCTTATGATCATCTTTTGTTTAATTTAGGAAATACCTTTGTAGGGTCTTAACAGGATTTTAAAGAACTGGGACAGGCAAAACCAGCATTTGCAAAGGCATTTGGAGAACAGATGCAGTCTTTGAGATGGATATCTTGAAAATACCATCTTGTTGTAGTGATTTGCTGTCCCTTCAGGTGTTTATCTAACTCAGTTAAAGCATTTCATATTTAATTTAGTTTAGCAGTGACATATTTTTTCATATTATAGTTTACATTCATTCTACATGTTATTTGATGAAGTTGCTTCTATTTGCATGCTTTTTTAAGTTGTAGCAAAGCAAGATTTTGTGATCACTCAGGACAAATCAGGAGCTGCTTTTCTAAGCTTCAAAACACTTAAAAAACAATACACTGTGTAGTTCAGCCAGCTTGCAGCTCTAAAACAGGAGGATGAACAAGCAGAGAAAGCATAAATTTCAACATGAATATTGAGACCTGTGCATTTCTTGAAGTCCGGTTGAAAGTCATTAATTAACTGGAAATATTTAATAGAGTTTTCCAATTTAATGTGCCTAACTTAAATTAGTGGGATGATGGCTGCATTTAAAGTTTGTCCCAGAAGGTTTAGAAAGAGTAACTTTTCTCTGAAAATTTTATTTGACTGTTCTTGACTCCAAGAATGCTTAATTTTATTAAGGGCAAGTGTGGCATAGTATTTTTTTTTCCTCTCAAAATTCTGTTAGTAAGTCAGATTTTTTTTTGCCTTTTATATTTCAGATATAGCTTATTTGTTTTTCTGCCTTTTTACATAAAGAATCCTCTCCAAATTCAGAGAACTTTAATAGATTTAAATTTTGATAAATGTATTTTTTAAAGAATTTACAAAACTGGAAAAGGATAAATGAGTGCTACAAAAGGCTGATTTTCACTGTAAAATATTTCCATGGAAATCTTTTAAAGACCATTATGTTGGGAGATTTCTTGGTAGATTAAACTAGGGTTTAAAGATGAGATTCTGTTCAAAACTAACAGAGCTTACTATTAGGGTTAATAATATGCACTTGCCTATTATTTGGGGGTTTAAAAAAGGAATACCACTTGCTCAGTTATTTTTAAAAGTACTTTAGTGATCTGACATTTAACTCAAAACATAGTTTATACACTGTTTTTCATTAAATGCTTTGGCTGTTCATGCCATCAGTGCTCAATCAGTGTATCTTTTCTAGGGAATCATATCTTTGTTTTGTCTAAGTGTAGCCTCTATGAAAATTCTGGAGCCTGGTTAGACAGTTAATTGTGCCATGTGTGAAATAGGCAAATAGCGTCATTGGGATAATTCCAGTTGGGAAGGCGCTCACAAGGTCATCAATTCAAGTCTTTGTGTCCCTTCATTTGAGGCAGTTCCTGATTTTCTGGAAAGTCACTTAAGTGAGTTAAAAAAATCATGAACATCGTGTATTTTTAAATAGAGAAAAAAGATTAATGCCAGAATACGTTTTGAAAATATTTCTTCAAAGAAATTTCATTATTTTGCTTCAGAACGAAGTTTGGACTATTGAAATGAAGGGAGAGGAGGCTCTAATAATTATCAGAGGGCTGTTCAGGTGTAATCCTTGGTAATCAGTTGAACCAAAGGTGTTCTATTTTGTAGTAGGACTGTATTTGGATGTACTACAATATTGGATTATTATAGTTCTAATCTACACTCAGTAGAGTTCAGAAACCATCACTGCGGGCCTCTTTTTTTAAAAAGTTAAACCCACTTATGATTATTCCATTGTTCCATTCCATGCCCAGGAAACTGAAAGGAGATTGAGCTATAAAGTTGCAAAGTGATGTATCTGTTCTCTTCTTTTGCTGAAGAGCTCTTTCCATTTAGAAGATTCTTCATCTATAATACCCATCTACCCTCAGTCATGGTCTAAGGAAATTCTTCTCCTGTCGAGGAATCGCAATAGCTGTTGACTACTTTTGGAAACGTGGCCACAGAAATATTACTGTGTTTGTTCCACAGTGGAGAACGAGACGTGACCCTTCCATTACAGGTGAGGGACATTTCCTAATGTTTCCTTAATTAAACTAGATTGTAACTATTTCTTTGGGTTCTTCTGTGTAGAATAAATGGAGAAGGAATGTTTCATCAAATGTTGAGCAGGGCAGTCTGGCTGCTCAGCATGAGTAATTTGGTTTCCATACACAGTGTGAGAAACCCTGAAATGCTGTTTAGGCTAACAGGTCTGCCATCAGTGGAGGACTTTTTGGGTTGGTTTTTGTGTGCCCTTTGATTTCTAGGTTTGACCTCTTCTTCTCCATTTTTATGGTATGAGCAATTCTTCAGCTATCAATGTCATTTCTATAGCTTAATTGGTACAAAAATAGCCCATTCTCTCTGCTAATTATATCTCAAATTAATTGTCAAATCATGTTTTAACAGAGCAGAATTTCTTAACACAGCTCGAGGATGTTGGAATATTGTCTTTAACCCCTGCAAGGATGGTTTTAGGAGCAAGAATTGCTGCTCATGATGACAGGTACAGAATATACATAGTTTTAAAATATTTTTAAACATCTAATGGTTGTAAAAGGTTGATATTTCATGAGCAGTTCTATTAGCTAGTTCTAAAACCTCTGTAGACAGAGCTATGCCTCCAACTCAAGACTGAGTTCTACATCTGTTACATCATTTCACTGTTGTAGGAAACACTACTGTTTATTCAGAAAGTCATGGAGAACTAGAAACTTTCATGGCAATTTTTTTTTAAAAAAAAGGCAGTCTGAAGAAATTAATCTTCCAGTAATGTTTTTATGCTTTCGTGGTCATCACCCTACCCCTGAATTGCCTTTTAGGCTTGTGGCATAAATCAACTACTGATCAGGTATTATTTAGCTCCATTTTTGTTGGCACATGTTGCCACATGGCTCCATGTTGGCACACAGACCTTGCTGTGTGTTTGGAACAGTGCATTTGTAACCATGTGTGAGCCAGTGAACTTCCAGGTTAATTTGACCACCAAGAATCAACTCCAAAATGTGGGGATCATCTGTCAGTGAACAAGACACAGTAAGCCTTAGTAATCTGTGTTGTGGAAGTTTCCTAGTACTTCACTAATGTTTTATATACACCCAGCCTTTCATAAGAAATGATCTCTCAGTGCAGTTGAGATTATTGTGGAAATAAGTGTTATAATAACATATTTGCACTATTGTTAAAAGCATGCACTTTCCTTTAAAAGGACACCATCCATTATCTTGTGACTAAAATAGTTTAAAATGGAAAAAATATATTTTCAGACATTATCACATTTTTTTTTATTATCACAAAAGCAAACATGTTTTTTTTCTTAGTAAATCGGTAGTAATGTTTTTCCATAATTTATTTAACAAAGGATTTTTAAGAAGCGTTGACAGAGCAAACAACTAACATGCAGAACACAGTCATTAATGCTAAACAGAAAAGTGTATGGAAATGAGTTCATGTTGGATTGTGTAATAAATACTGTACTATTCCATAAAGCAAGCCATTTACCTGTGCAGATATTTATTTGGGGGTTTTGCTTGTGTAGTTTTTTGGTGTTTTTTTTAATGGAGAAGTGAAGACACTGATGCACTAAATCATGCTACCCGAACTATTGTTGTAAGTTTGAGTAAAACCTGAGTAATTTCCTGGTAATCAAGGTGCTTGTTTTCATGCAAATAAATTACTTTTGGATGATTAAATATTTAGTTTTCTAGATCTTTGGATTGTTTTCAGCAAAATAAACTATTTTAGCGATCTTTGAAATTAATTTTACAGGTTTTTATTACACCTTGCTGCTAAAACTGGAGGTGTTATTGTGACTAATGATAACTTCAGAGAATTTGTGACGGAATCATTTGCCTGGAGAGAAATTATTCAGAAAAGGTAATTATTGAATTTCTGTGAAATTTTAAAAGTATGTCTGTTCCTGCAGTTGTAGGCACTCTACCCCCTTTGCCATCTTTAATTAATCTGTCATGCAGTTCTGGTAGATCCAAATAAAGTACTGTATGATTCACTGTGATGATTCATGGCTTTACAGTCACGTGTTGAGTAGTCTAATATCCCTGTTATTCATATATTCTGTCATGTATGTGTGTTAATTGCTTACATAAGCAGGAGCTCGGTGTAACAGCACATGTGTGTTACTTCTGAAGGTCAGTGTTAGATCTTGTTTGAGCAGTCCATTTTCACAGCCTTTCTTGTCTCAAAGCTCATTTTTTTTTCAGGGAGACACAATAGCTGATGAGGATGCACAGTGTCACCTCTAATTGTTCAGAATCAATCACTCTACTCAAGTGGGACTGATTGGCACAGATAAACAAAATGAACACTTATAGTGTATGCATGTAACCATTTCCCTGTAATTGTTATTCTTTGGTTTTAGCTGATTTCACTTAGTTATCGAATATCCCTGCTTCATCTTGTAGACATTGTTTCTTTGTTAGTTTGTTGGGTGTGGGTGTTTGGGATTTTTTTTTTTCCATTTCAGTTAAATCAGGTTATTTGGGTTATTTTACTACTAAGGTGTGATCTTCTGATAGTGAAATTTCCCACTAATCCTTCAGCGTCCCTGACATCTTCTGAGGGTACATTTGTTACAGTGGCTGGGACCAGTATAGCTCTAATTAAATAAGCAGCTAAAAACTTGCCCTGGATTCTCACAATATACCCACAAGACCATGGAATTGATGCTGGCTAATCATGTAGGCATATTTACATCATTTCTTGAGTCAATTCTACCCAAGTCAGGTTCTGTTCTCCCACAGAACTTTAGTAAGAATACTTGGCATGGCATCTCGAGACTGTGGTTTTTTTAGAGCTTATGTTAACATCTGCTGTTAGTTTTACTTCTGGGGAAATTCCACAGTACCAAATCTTCTCCTTGCAAACAAATTTCAGTTGAACTGGGTTGGTTTTTTTTTCAATGCAGATTTCTACCTGTCCCAAAGTGATTCCAGAAAAAAAGCTTTGTGTTTTAACTGTAAACATTTAATGCTCTATTGCTAGTTGTGTGGCTTTCTGCTAACACAGGCATTTCAGCTATATGCCTGAAGATCCTTTCAAGGAAGGGGATTTAGAACAACCAAAAAAATCTTTAGTCACCTAGAAAATTCCACCGTGGTCTTGTTGCAAATTTTCTGTCATAAAACAGTTGCTGGCAAAAAAAAAAAAAAAGGCTCTGTGTTCTTTTCTATTTATATTCAAAAGTAAAGGGAAAAAAGAAGATAATTTATGAAAGCTGACCAATAGGACCACTTTCAATAATTCCCATGGAATTATTTTAACAGGGAATGGTGGTTGTCTCTTAGCTGGGTTTACTAATTAATCTTCAGGGAGTCCTGATGTGGTATCTACTCTAAGGAAATTTGTCCTGTGCTACAAAGGTGAAGGACGGCAAAGGTGTAATACCTTGTTATTTAAAAGAACTCTCTTGCAGGTTGCTCCAGTACACTTTTGCTGGTGACATATTTATGGTTCCTGATGATCCTTTGGGAAGAAATGGACCCAGGTTAGATGACTTCCTTCGAAGTGAAGGCTGTTCTAGGTATAAACACTGTTTCCACTTTTGTTTGATACAGTTATTTCACATTTGAAATAAACTGTTCTGGTTCATTTACATACCTGTAAAGCACAGTAAAGTTAAGCAGGAGCACTGTAGCATGTAGCAGTTTAACAAAAAAAACCCCACATTTTTCCTGTTACTTCAGTTGGTTCAGAAACTTCTGGTGACATTTGCCTCTAATCAAGATCTCTCTGAGAACCAAGATAAGTATGACAAACTTCTTCTGAAATTTGACTGTGGTGGCTTTCATGCACAGGTGTGTTAACAGCACCCAGAGGTGCCAGAGATGTGGGTATGTGTTGTTAGTTACACTGATGTTATCCAAGACACTGGTCACTTCTTCATAGGGGGACAAACACTCTGCACTCGGGGTTTTTTGTCACAGGGGTGACACTTCATCTCATGGTTGAGGGTACCAATTGTTGTCAAAACAATTTTTGAGGCATTGTTATTAAATCTGTTTGTATTTGAGTAATAATTATAAATATTAATGAACATATTGTTCATTTAAGATTAATGTACTTTTTAAATATGTACATATTCAAAGTATGAATTGCATGAACTGCCAAGACTTAAAAATTTGTTTGCTCTTTTGCACAAGATAATAATGTGCTGTTCTTTCACCTGTTTAGGAACTAGAAATGCTAATAATTCTGAGGAGTATTGAGAGGCTTTTAAAAACAAGTGAGGTAACTTAAAAGTTGGCAATAGAAAAGGCAAGCTATGCTTACGGATTAATACAAAGAATAAGCAAGAATTCATGTATTGTAAACATTTGAGGAAAGCGGAACATTTTTATACCATAGATTACAAGCTGATTTGAAAATAAGTGTGTTGACATAAAGAAGCGAGTGGAGTGCTAGAACTCCAAAAAGAAATACTAAATATTTAAGCTCTTGTACAAAACCTTTGAGATATTATTTGGAGCACTGTGTTTTACCTGTGTCTGAGAGAAATAAAATTAAATCAGTGTTCTGAGGTAGGTGAGTGTGATGATTGTAGAAATGGAGTGTCTTTTGAGAAGATCACAGAAGAGCTTGCTTTCTAGGCTTTGGTGTCTAGTTTGGGGTTGGGTTTTTTCGGGGGCAGGAAAAACAGAGGAAAGCAAAATGTTCCTTGCCTGTGACTTTTCCCAAAGTTTTGTTACTTCCCTGTGACTTTTCTACATGAGTTAAATGATGCAGGAAGCATAAATGGCACAAGGAACAAGATCAGAAACTGGAAGGATCTTCAGCAAACCTCAGAAAACCTTTCCACGCTGAGTAACAGGAGACGTAACAACCCGAATGCTTTTAAAATAGAGCCCTGTAATTTAGATACTGTTTCCCTTGGTGGTAGGAAACTAGACTGTAACGTGAGTTACACTTCACATTTCTCTGGTATCTGCTGGCATCTGAAGTAGAGTGAACTTTGTAGTGCTAGCAGTGTATAGAGCAGCAAAACTTTTTAAAGTCTGAAATGAAATCTCAATAAGAGTATTCAAATCCTGAGATTGCCAAAATAACTTCATTGCCCTGTTAAGGATACCATACAAGGGAAACAAGGCCCTGATCTAAATATGAACACACCTCAGTCAAGAGCAAAAGTACATGAGGAATAGTCTCATGAAGCAGTCTTGGAAGCTCCTTTGGTCTGTCAGCATTTTCACATGTTCCATGTCAGTGTACATTTGTTCAATGTATCTTTTTATCTATACCTTCATAAAACAGTCTTTGACTGTTTCTCTAATCTGTCAAGTGAAGGAATCACAGCATATTGAGGCTATTCCTGGGTGATACTAATGTTAGTTGTGCTAGATTTAAATTGAGAACTGCTACACCTCTTGTTTTGTTCCAGTTTGAAAGAATGCTTGTCATTTGATTCCAGTCAGTAACTGACTGAGCAGCAGGAAAATTTGATTTATACACATTTGTCTTTTCTCTCTCATGTACAGTGAGAGCTACAGCTAGCATCTCCTTTAGCTTAATTAATTAAAAATTTTTATTTTGTTCCACAGAGATTCTTGGTTAACACAAAAGGCTTTACAGAGCAGTGGACAATATTCTTCTGAGACACCACTTTTCCCCCCTGAAGTGAGCAGTAGCAGTCGACAGCCTGGAGGCAGAGTGCACGATGATCGTTCATCCCCGAGGCTTCCATGGGAAGAAAACACAGAGCCTTGTCCAGCAATTCCACCACAGAGATCTGCCTCAGAAACAGTCCAGCTAAGAGAAGCCCTGATCAGAATTTTTCCTGACTATGATCAAAGGCAGAAGATTGATCGAATACTAGCTAATCATCCATTCATGAGAGATCTTAATGCACTGTCTGCCATGGTGCTTGACTGAATGCTTACACAGCTTTTATAGCACAACCGCTCTGACTAACGATTATCAATGTGAAGAAAAATATCACTTTTATGTTACTCTGTGAATATTAAAACCTAATTTTATTTGTATAAACAAAGATATTTTTGTGTATGTTCTGTTGCTAATAGATGCCAGGTTTTGGCAAATTTGAAACTGCTGCTATTACAGATTTGTAATAATATTTTCTATGGAAAAAACCCAAATCTTCTGCTTTACTTGAATTGCTTATTAAAGCAGTGGGAGTACTCCCTTTTGAGCAGTGTCAGTACTTTTTCCAAAACCCTTTTCCTGGAAGGCAGAATTCCTGTCAGTTGGAGACCAGCATGTGGGAGCAGCTGCCAGCAGGTGGCGGCCGTGGGCCCCTGAGGATCCCCGGGAAGGGCGTGAAAATCCAAGAAAATCCATTTGCTCTTTCAGGCTAGAAATGCTGTACGGGGTAGTTAGAAGAGAAAGTATAAATTCACAGCTCTCATCGGGACATGGTCTTTTGAATGCTTTAAAGGATCTGAAAGCCACATGGTTTTTAAATTGTAAATTAACTTGGCCATCAGTATTCTTTCAGAACAGTTTTAATATCCTTAACAATTGCACTTATACCTGTTTGTCTTGGCCTTGCCCATTCTAAGTGTGAATGGTGTGGTGTTAGCAGAATGTGATGCTGTCTGTATATTTTTGTGTAGATCTACAGCTGCAGTCAGCTCCTCCCCTTTAGATCTGTTCTGGGGTCTATCCCAAAAGTAAAGGGAAAAAGAGAAGATAATTTATGAAAGCTGACCAATAGGACCACTTTCAAGAGCAGAGCAAAGTTAGGATTGTCTGTATCTCTGTACACACTGATGTCTGTTACTCTTTCCTTTTAACCAGTCTCTGATGCCAGTTGTTCACATGAGTAAAATCAAATTGGACTGTAAGGAAACATCAGCTTCTGCTGTACTGAGCCTTACCCTTAAAGCCATTATGGCTTTCTCTCCAGTTCCATGGGGTGTGAAATCACTTTGTTTATATGCAAAAGAGCTGAAATATGTTGTTTATATGCAAAAGAGGAACAGGGGCTTTTGACAGACTGTCTTTTTGCATGGCCCTTTTTGCATGGCCCTTTCATGTTTTGTGAAGTCAGAAACAGAAGAAAGTCTTGCTCTTCCCTTAACACAAGCAACCCAAAAGAGAATTGCAGCAAGAACAAAAAAGTTGTAGGAACAGTTGTTACAGCTCCTCAAAAATACAGGTGATGATGAAGAAAGGCCTTTAATGTTTCTACATCCAAACAGACAAATCTTAATTATTTATTTTATATGAGTGGGAGATTTGCTATTCAGGTGGGTAGAGTCCTTCTGACCAGCACCTGTTTGCCAAGAAGTAGTTCTCTACCTCTGAAGTGTTATGTAATCTCCAAGTTCTAACCCCATAAAATCTTAGGCAGGTTCCTAAAGCCTAGTATGATTTTAATAAATAGTAAGAGAATAAATCACCAGCTCCCTTGCAGTGCCTGGGGGGCCTGTCTACGTGTGTGAACATGCTCCTTGAATAACTTGTCTTCTTTCCATTAGGTATAGCCCTGGTTGCATATGCTGTTTTCACTTTCTTAGGTGCTGGTGTGGGGATATAAATATATTGTAATTTTTATTTCAGAATCACAGAATAAGCTGAGTTGGAAGGGACCTACAAGGATCATCCAGTCCAACTCCTGGTCCTGCACAGAACACTTCAACAATCCCACCCTGTGCCTGAGGGCATTGTCCAAACACTTCTTGAGTTCTGTCAGGCTTGGGGCTCTGCCCACTTCCCTGTTCAGTGCCCAACCCTCTCTGGGTGAAGAGCTTTTTACTGATCTAACCAAAATCCCCCCAACTCGGCTTCAAGCCTCAGGTCCCATCACAAGAGCAAAAAGATTGGTATTCTTTCTTCTTTTGCTATTTCTTTCTCCAAAGTCTGTTTCTGAAGCTTGCCTCGTGCTATTCAACCTTTGGTTGCTGCAAAAATGCAACTAGAAGCAGTGTTTTGAGTGGAAAACAACAGGGACTTTCCCTTACACGTGAGTGATTTGGCATTTCCCTCTCCCTCCTTTTAAAACAGTAAAGTCCTGAGACTGATTCCTGGTGAGAGACCAAGTGCAGGATTTCTGGGACAAATACAACAATTTATTGTTAAAATGAGTGTTTTCTCCTACATTTTAAGAGCATATAATGTAAATAATTTTATTCTAGTTGTAAACAAGCAAAGCTCAGATGAGTCCCAGTAGTGGGTGCTAGTGCTGCTGTTTTCCTTCCTGTTTTAGTGCCATATTAGGGTGGCTTGTGTTTTGGAAGAGCATTTCTGAACCAGAGAGAGAGTGCCTGTGAAAGTTCCATGACAAACAGTGACTCACACAGTGTCTTTCTAATACTGGCAGTGTTTCCTTCTGTTTTGAAAGCTTGCAGGCTGTGTTAGATATGAATGCCTTTCTTGCTAGAATTTTGTGTAGCTGCATTACATGCTATTTTTACATGTGGGCCTGGTTTATGTTCTGGATGGCTGTTTTATTGGAAAGGTTGTAGCTCTGCTATAATCCATGTAGAAGACCTGTTATTTTCATAAATACAGTTTAGAATAATAATGACTTTGCAGATTCCGAGACCTAATCTGCTGTCTGGTATTTGGAGGCGTCTGGTTATATAAGTAGGTGTTTCTCTCATGTGTTCAGTTTCTCTTTTTTATCACAGAACAGAAACCCAAGTGCCTTACAACAGTGTAACTCACGATGTTCAGACTCTTCCTAGCCTTCCTGACTGCTACTGTTTGTACTCAATTTTGTACATAAATCTACCAGTTTTGTATATGTTGGTATGTGACTCTGTGCATACAGTGGAAATACTGCAGTGCTCAGCTAGATGGTGTAGACAATTACTTTTAAAAAACAGATGGATTTTAGATTTGTACATTTTTTACCTGTGTATTGTATGCATTTATGTTCAGAATGTGGTTCTGTTGTACTGTTCAAACTCTGCTGTGTATGACAATCCCAAGTTTTTGTTGTCTGTTTTGTGGCTCGCTAAGTTCTGTTCTAAGATTGCATTATATAATTTTAAATTGCTAATTCAAAGGAAGCATTTTTTAAGAAACTGGGTTTGAATGCATTGGGTCCCCTTTACAGTCTCCACTTGAGTATTTTTAACTGTTTCAGGAATGATATTTTAAATGTACATAAGAGAACTAGAATATTATATATTTTTAATTAAACAAAAACAACAGTCCAATGACATCAGAATTCTGCTGAAATGTATCAATTAGGTTTTCTTTTATTATCATTTTTCACTAAGTAAAGGACTAATTGTGATTCAAATCCAAAGTCAAGTATAATTTTTCTCCCTGGTTTTTGAATGAGTATGCGATATTCAAAGTATTGAGTCCTAGTATTCTTAATTTTAAGAAAAAAACTTTGCTGAGCAAAATATTAAGAGTCTATTCATCAAAAATAAAAGGCTGGCTTGCATGTGTTTTATACAGAAACACACGCCCTTCTAAGAACGGTAAAGGTGGATGCAAAGCGGGAATTCCAACTGTTGGATTTCCGGGGGTTGTGTGGGTGTCGCGGTGCGGGCGGGGTCCCTGAGCTGTCCCCTGCTGTCCCCGAGCTGTCCCCTCTGCTGTCCCCTGCTGTCCCCCCTGCTATCCCCCGCGCTGTCCCCGCTGTCCCCGCGGTGACGGGAGGTGGCGCCGCCGGCCCGAGGGCGCTCGGGCCCTGCCTGAGGGCAGAGCTCAGGTTTTGTCACGCTGGTGTTTCGCCGGTGTCCTTGCTGCTGTGTGGGAGGCTCGGCTTGCTTCTCGGCTCAGGGACCGTCCTCTGGCTTGCTGATAGTTTATGTTTGATGGCACATGAAACGGGTGGTAATATATTTACCTTTGATATGAGTTCCTTGCATTCAGAACTGCGGCCAGAAGCCTGCTGTTTGAACAATCCCGATTGCCAGGAGTTAAGATACCGGCGCGTGAGAAATTATATTCCAAAAAAAAAAATTTTAAAATTTTTTAAAAAATTAAAAAAATAAAGATAAAAGCCGAGACTCAGAAGTATTGCATTAAAAATCAGAGAAGGCACCACAGAGCCTCCGCTAAGAGCGTGCGGGCAGAGCTGTCAGCCCAGCAGCCGGTGAGGGGTGAGGCAGGACGCGCAGGCAGAGCCGGGGCCGCCCTTCCACGGGGGCAGTGACCGGGGAGCCCCCGGCCCTGAACCGCTCTGGAACCACTCGCACCGTCACTCCTTTCTCTCAGGAGCATCCCTGCAACCTGAATCCAAACAGACCCAGCTCAGCGGTGTGCTCTGCAGAGAAGGAAGTTGGGAATATCTAAAAGGCAGAGCGTGAACGTCTGGGAATATTTTCTGTGAGGAGAAGGAAGAGGTACATTGTGGTTTATAAATACTTTGTGTGGGAGATCTTCACAGCAGAGGGCCTTGAATTAAAAGAGGCACATCAGAGCCTTTTGCCAGATCTTCTGGCAGAACACCAAGAATATGGATAAGGGCATTCTTGACATTCTGAAGTGAAGGGGCATTAAAATAGTAATATTTGGCATTCATTGGGAATAAATTAATGTTTTCTGTCACAATTGTAGCTATCCAAGGATTCTTTACATTAGGAAAACAGAACTTGCCATTTTTTAACTTTCAATCACATTTTTATTTCCTTGGCCTGTGTGTTTATCAGCTGCTCACACCTAATCTAAAGAGAAATTTCCTGGGCTGAATATAATGTACTGTGAAACATATAACGTCAACACACAGCTTCCCAATGTCCAAACTAGTTTCCCTTCCAGACTTGAGCCAGAAGTTTTTTGTTGAGTAAATGAATAAGAAGATAGCACTAGAAATGAAACAGTTTAAGACAATACTAGGGTGATCATGAAATTTGCAGTCTCTATCAACTCAGTGTGTGCACATGATTGTTTTTGTATAAAACCATTCAATGCATTAATTTTGACTAAAAATAATTTAGGGCTCTGATTCATAAGCAGTAGATGTTGTAGTGGCCTAAAATGGTATTGGGGTGATTGCAGGAGATTGACTGCAGCTGCCCTTGCTGGATGCTCTGTGTTGGTTTCTCTGTTGTCACAGTTGGCACAGTGGTTTAAACTCTTGTAGGTCATGAGTCTGAGCCCTCAGTTCTCTGCTGTCAACAAAAATGCAGAAAAGATATAGTGGCTAGATTGTTATCCTTTGTTTTACAGCATCCATCAAAGTCCTACTTTGTAAATGGAAATCAAATTA